TATATATATATATATATATATATAAATTAACTTACCTATACGCAAAAATAACAAACTTTGACTCACATAATGCATATACAACTAATGTATTGATGTGGATCGGAACATCTTATATTATGGGAACCCATATTTAAAATAGTTTGTTTGATAAAGTTCAGGTGAGCTTAAATGAAACTTCATGAAGTATATATAAAGATCGAAATAACATATCATAACAAGTAAAAGAGTATATCATCCCACTCCATGTAAGTTAATTAAAATCATAAATAATTAACCTTAAATGAAATGAATGAAAGGAGAATCATTACATTAACTTCTCTCACAGGGTGATTATTACACCTCTGCAAGGAAAAATTACAAACCTTTTTCATTTTTACAAATTTGACCCATAAAAAGGCAAACAATTTCATTTGCTTCATGGGTCAACGTTAGAAAATGTCAACTAAACCACAAGAAGAAAAAATAACAAACAATAGAGTGAAGAAAGATAGTTGAAAAAAGAGAAGCAAATTAAATATATATAGTACTAATAGTACCATATTAATTAATTGCTTCATCTTAAGCCCATCTTTCTTCACTAAAAACCATAATTAATTAATTAATTAACACCTAATACTACACTAATTACCCAACATAGACGATGTTAATGATTGGAAAACAATTTCTTCACATGGAATAGTAATGCCCATATCATGATCAAATCCAAATTCTTCTTCAGCACGATGGAGTAGACATTGAAATTCTGGATAACTCAAAAAAGAAATAGGTACGATGTATCGTGTTCGATTTTCTCCCACGTAAACTGCAAAATGACCTTTAGGTACGTCAATTGGAAGGCTATTTTCGTCATCGTCGTAGCTATTATTCTTCTTTCCTAAACTTGAACATCTTTTCAAGATTTGCTTCAACATTGCAGATTGTGACAACTTGTTTGATTTTCTAATGGCCATTTTATTTTATTTTGTTGAAAATGGAAAAAAGATTGAGAGGTTTGACAATTGATATAATAACACTTCTTTCCTTTGAGAGCAAAGAGATGCTAAAAAATTAAAGTGAGAGTTGTGTGATAATAGATGGATATTGTGTAGTATTTATGAAGGGAAGAGCTCAACCATGATATTTTTTATTTTTTATTTTTATTTTATTTTTCTTAAAAAAATTAAAGTGAATGGGCAAGAGGGGAAGAAGGGTTTATGTAGGGTGTAGGACCATAAAACCACATGTTGTTTTATTAGCTCTGATTATAATAACAACAGGTGGAATATATACACTACAGGAGGAAAAATGTGAATTGCATGGAGATTTTCCTAGAGATTAGTATGAAAATTCGCAGGAAACTTATTTTCCTGCAGATTTTCATACTAATTCCCAAAAAAATCCCCTTGTAATTCACATTTTCCTTGTAGTGATATCCATTACTAGTATATTAGATAGAAGTTGGATAAACTAATAATTTAGATAATTCTTATATTATTAATAATGTAATTTACAGGTTATTTATGTGACTTTTTTCAAATTTTGGGAGTCAAACAATTTTATTTTAAATGAAATATTTTTTTATATATATGCTTTGAAAATATTTTTGAATTATTGATTATTATGGCTTATAATATTTGTTTCAAAAAATTAAAGATACTAAATAATTTTTAAACCTTAAGCTCACTGAAGGAAGCGGGAAATTATAAGCAAGCAAAGTCTCAATCTGAAATCAATAGCCCGCAAGAAATAGAAAGGAGAAAGTTCATATCTTTCTAGTAGTATGTAGCTTTACTTCCTTGAACTTCTATGAAAGGCTTAGATAGTGCAGTTGAGTAACGCTTGTTGAATACCTCTCTATGACCTGCTTCAGCTCTAGTCTATTTCTAACTAGCGATGGAAAGAAAATAAGAAAGATAGTCATGAAAGAAATCGATTTTAAGTAACAGTAGAAACATATTACATAGCTTTCGAATTTGAACGATGCAACATAAAAAAAAATTAAAAATATTGTACAACATTTTTCCAATTGTGTATCAAGCTTGCTATTTATGATGATCAATAAATTCAATACCATGTTACTTATATTATAGGTCACACTCAAAAAAATCTATATAATATCAAGTACATAAAACTTAAACTCCTAATAATTTTTTTATCTTGTAATTATGGTCAAAGATGAATTATAAGTATGCAATAATACTACTATGTACAAGACAGAAGACATAGGATATGTTGGTGTATTTGTACTTGAAGGAGGACAAAACCCATTGGGTATGCTGCCCCTTCTTATGACAAAGCGGTCCCTTCTCATTCTATGTTTTTTTTCTTCTTCCTAAAATTAATATAGTCCATTGGATTATTTTTCCAAGTAGGTGTTGGAACATTGTATTTGATTTTTGTTTGGTTGTATTTGACAAACAATATTTTATGATGGCCAAAAAATATGGCTTTCACTAATGAATTTTGGTCCCAAGTTTCAACATCCAAGCTTTTTATTGAATAGAGGTTCTTGTTTATACTTCATATATCTATTTTGTGGCTCTTGTTCTTCATCTTTCATTTCTCTCTCTTTGATCTTTTGTGTTTTTTATAATTTTATTTCGAGACTTATGACTCGATTAATTCAAATTCTTAGCTAAATTTCTTTATTTACAATAAGGTTTGAGTTCAAGAACGTTGATTAAAGACACTATATCACTAATAGAAAATAAGAAATTAGCGACAGACAAAATTTCATAGCTAAATAACAAAAGTCTTAAGCTAATCCTATTTAACAATGGATTAGCTAGGAATTGTCGACAAATTTCGTAGCTAAATTCATATTTTCTAGTATTGAAAAGACCTAATTACCAACGAGAATATTCGTTGGTCAAATTGGTAGGTAAATGGAGGTAAATTTTTGCCAATCAATTTAAAATCGTTGGTAAAATTACCAATAGAAAATTGGTTGGTAAACACTAAAAGATTTTGTTGGTAATGTATGAATTGATGCAAGAAAATTTAATGGAGAACATGTTTTCCTTAGCTTAATGGAGCTTGAGCACTTTCTCACGTGTGAGCGGAAGATGTTGAAAATAACAAATGGATCGGATTTGCGCTTAAGGGGTGCTAATTAAGAGTCCGAAGTCAAAAGGGCAAAAAAAATAGTCAAAAATTTCAAAAGGGCACATCAATTTTTTTTAAACCAAAAGGACAAAATCGCTCTTGACGGAGCGATTTTCTTCTGACAAAATTGACGCCGTTACTCCTTTGAAAAACATAAAAATTGCGGCCCCAACAGCGATTTTGTTTTTCAAAAAAATTAAATCGCTGTTATAGCAGCGTCAATTTTCTGTCAGAAATTATTTTTAAAAAATGGAAATCGCTCCACGTGTAGCGATTTTAGCTTAAAATGTTTTTTTTTTAATAATCGCTTCCAAGGCAGCGATTTCAATAGAAAAAATTTCCCAATTGAGTTACTTTATAATTTTTTATTGTATACTTTTTGATTACTAGCAGCAATTTGAAATTAATAATAAAAATTCTTACTGAAATCGCTGCCTTGGCAGCAATTATAAAAAAAATAATAAAATTTTAAAACTAAAATCGCTACACGTGGAGCGATTTCCCATTATTTTTTTAAGCAGTCCTAGCCTTGGGAATTTTTAATTAAAAAAAATTTAAACTTTTTTAAGAAAATGGCTGCTATAGCAGCTAATTCTATTTTATTTTTTTTGAGAAAAAAGTTGTTGTGGCAACGTTGTGCCACAACAACGATTTTAAAGAAAAAAGATTTTTTTTTTTGGACGAAATTGCTGTTGGGGCAGTGATTTTTATGTTTTTTTAAAGGAGTAACGGCGTCAATTTTGTCAGAAGAAAATCGCTCCTGATGGAGCGATTTTGCCCTTTTGGTTAAAAAAAATTCATGTGCCCTTTTAAAATTTTTGACAATTTTTTTTGCCCTTTTGACTTCGAACTCTGCTAATTTATCTGTTATCCCATTAGTTTGTCCTCCTCCTTAACTCTTACAATGCTTATGAATAAATATATCATTATGGATGTAAGAAAGATACAGTTCTCCACATACAATGACGGGTAGGGTTAGAGAAACGCTCTACATTCCTTAAAGGATATCTAGATTGTGAGCAAAGAGAATTCATTCGCTTTGTGAGGATTCCCGACGATCGATGACGCAAGTGAAACATATGCTTAGCAATGTTCTTTCTTTTCTTAACAAAAATGATCTACCTAGGTTAGAAACAATGTTTAAAACTAGAGCAATTTTCACATATAGCAAACATAAAAATCATGTTTGTATGTTATAGTTATAGTTTGCACAATTGCAGCAAATTTTACGTTTGTTATGGAGCTTTTGATTTGTATAATTCGCTAGATACATTCAATTTTATACAAATTGTTCTGTTTTGTATAAATTCATTTATACATTGTAATTTGTATAATAAGATCTATATTTGTATAATTATAAGTGTATATGACGAAAATATATGTATTTGTATTTGTATATACACTTTTCTCTCGCTCTATACAAACACAAACACATTTAATACATTTGTATACCGAAAATAGCTAATTGTATACCGAATCAGATGGCAAAAAAATAGGATGTTT